ACGGGGAGTGACGAGGTAGAAGGCTAGCCATTTTTATTGGATATAAGTTTTAGATTTTATTCTTGAGATGTTGTGATTTGAATAAGTTCCGAGCCTTTTGCACTTGTGGGACTCGTCTCACGAGGGCACGGCGTCTGCCACATCCCTGGATTCGGGTTCTGGGGCGTGACAATAAAACTTAAATTTCCCCCAAACTTGTGCACTAACCTAGAACCCTAAGGAAGAAAAAATAAAATAAAATAAAATAATAATAAAAAGAAACTAAAAAAAATAATAATGAAGAAAAAGACAACCTAATACTTGTGTTGTCTCCCAAGAAGTGCTTAATTTATAATCATTAGCTTGACTATCTCAAATGATCATTTAGGATCATGTAATGAAATGTGGTTTTGTGCTTGTTGAATCGACAACCATCAATATAAGGCTTCAAACGATGACCATTCACTTTAAAATTGCCTTTGGTTTGATGAGAAACTTCTACCACTCCATAAGGAAAAACCTTTGGACTTGACCACCTAGATCTCAATTTACTTGGAAACAATCTAAAAAGAGAAGGTTAAACTCCTATTTTGGTCCCCGAACTATTGTACGGACCCCCGATTTGGTCCCTGAACTAAAGAAATCCCTAATTTTGTCCTTGAACTATTGTACGGACCCCTGAGTTGGTCCCTAAACTATTGTACAGACTCCCGAGTTAGTCCCTAAACTATTGTATGGATGCCCAATTTGGTCCCTACTGTTTACCAATTTAACCCCAACTTGGTCATTCTATTAAATAATAACTCAGGGACCAAATTGGGACGAAATTGTAAATAGTAAGGACCAAATTGGGGGTCCGTACAATAGTTAAAGGACCAACTTAGGCCAAATTATAAACAGTGGGGACCAAATCGGGGGTCCGTACAATAGTTTAAGAACCAAATCAGGGATTGCTTTAGTTCAGGGACCAAATCGGAGGTCCGTACAATAGTTCAGGGACCAAAATGGGGATTTAACCAAAAGAGAATTATAAAATGAAAGTTTCTGACCAACTACAAATTCACAACTCAAAATGTGGTTGTCATGCCACTTCTTGGTGTGTTCTTTGTAAATCTTTTAATTCTCATATGCTTCAAAGTGAAATTCATCGAATTCATTCCATTGCAATATCCTTTTCTCTCTTATAGCTTGCATATCAAATTCAAAGATTTCATAGCCCAATATGCTTTATGTTCAAGTTCGACAGGTAAATAACATGCTTTTCCAAAAACTAACCTATATGGAGACATACCATTAGGTGTTCTAAAAGTTGTCCTATGTTCCCAAAGTGCATCATCAAGTTTCAATAGCCAATCTTTCCTAGATGTACTTACGGTTTTTTCAAGGATTTTCTTCAAATCCCTATTTGAAACCTCTACTTGGCCACTTGTTTATGGATGGTATGGGGTTGCAACTTTATGTGTGACCCCATATTTCCTCAAAAGTGCATCAAATTGTTTATCACAAAAATGTTTCTCCCCATCACTAATGATTGCTCTGAGGATGCCAAATCTAGTGAGAATATTTTTCTTCATGTAATATCCCAAATTTTCGGGAATTTTAGCATTAAATTAAGGACTTGATTGTGAGAAAAGATTGTTTTGGGGCCTAATGTGAATATTCTGAAAGTTGAGGGACTCAAAGAGGGAAAGATTTTGGATAAGGATCAGTTTCTTTTCTTTTTCTTTTTCCTTCTTTTCTTCCCCAGCCATTTCCTGATTCTGCTCTTCTTCTTCCCGCTGCAGCCACCCGAGGAAAAAAAAAAAGGGGAACCAGCCATGCTTTGAGGAACCAGTGAGATAAGCTTGGTTTTCTCCTTCCTTTCTTGCTCTAGAACACATGTAGAACCCAGAAATCTTTCCCCCATGCTGGAAAAGCTGGATCTGCCCTGCTCTGCTTTGTCCTTCCGCCAGCTGCTCTTGATTGTGGGTGATTTCTAGGCATTTTTTCGGTAAGAACAGCCCCTAATTCCTTTGTTCTTGCTTGAATTGGCTTGGGTTAACTTTGATTGCTATTGTTTCCTTCAATTTTGGGTGAACCCGTGAGCTTCCCTGTAGATTTGTCGCCGGCCTCTTCCCCCTGCCATGTCCGGTTCTGCAGCTGCTAAATTCTGGTATGAGGGCCACTTCTTTAAGCTCGAATTTGTCCATTAGTTTGCTGCCATGTGATGTCCGAATTTGGCTAGGAAATGGGGAAATTCCAGTAGCAATTAAAAGGGGTTTTAAGTGTGTTTTGTTGCTTAATTCATGTGTAAATTGCTTGAGTTGATTGCTGTGATTTTTGGAGAGAAAACCCTATGATTAGCTAGTGTTTTGGCCAATTTTGGAAGTTGGAATTTCTGTTCACGTCGGGGTCACTGTTCACCAGCACTGTTCACCGGTTACTGTTCACACCCCGAGGGCCAACAATTAACGGGGATTTAAGTGATTAGTTTGTGATATAAGAACGAATTTGGAGATATTTGATCATGTGGAGATTTATAGGAAATAGCATTGTGATTAGGAATGATCCTAATGATGATTTCAGCTTGAATTTGTGATGATCCGGTATTGATTCTCGAAATATTTTGATTAGGTTCCCGATCGTTTTGCCAGTTAGCATTGAGATTGAGTGCTCGGTTTATGCGAGTGAGGTAAGTAAATTATGGTAATGCCCGTATACTTTTTAAAAGCATGTTTTGATTTGTTTTTGAAGTGGTGGCGGGACTAAACCCGTTTTACACAAGCATGACTGATTTGAAGTGAAATGTTTATGTTTTTCATTAAATTGAGCATGCCTACTTGAAAGTTTAAATGACTATCCTGATGATTTGAAAGTGATTGTGAATCGTGATTTTTCTGTTAACTTCTGCCTGTTTTGTCTCCGATATGGTCATGTTATTCGTGTGCCCGCTAGTGGGAGGTTTATAAACGCTAGCACATGTCGACATGTTACTGATAGAACCGGTTCGTTTCTGTAACCCTACTAGTGGGGGTTAAACACTAGTAATTTCTGTAGCCCGCCAGTGGGAGGTTTATAACACTGGCCGTGACCTATAGAGGAGACGTCTATTTCGTGCCTGTACTGTATCTGTTTTCGTGATTGTACTTGTTGGCATGCTTTAAGTTTGATAAGGGGCACTCCATATTTACTTACTGAGTTTATCTCATAGTTTTTCCTTGTCCACAATTTCAGGATGTGAAACCGAGGACGGGGAAACCACGGGAAGTGACGAGTTAGAAGGCTAGCCATATTGTAATTGGATATAAATTTTAGAAATAAATCATGATCTTGTATTTGGAGATTTTATGATATCAGAGAGAATTTTATAATTTGATCTTCAGATTTTGATGGTATCAGAGTGTGAATTTGATAAGTTTCGAGCCTTGTGCATTTGTGGGACTCGTCTCACGAGTGCACGGCGTCTGTCGCGCCTCGAATTTGGGTTTTAGGGCGTGACACTTCAAGAACTTAACAACTACCCTAGCATTATTAGTTAGTAAAGCTACAGCCTCCACCCATTTAGAAACATAATCCACAGCCAAAATATATATTGATTTGTAAAGGAACGTGGAAGAGGTCCCATGAAATCAATACCCCAAACATCAAAAAGTTCACAAACAAGCAAGTTGTTTAAAGGCATCACATTTTTCTTGGAAATATTGCCACTTCTTTAACATTTATCACATGAGGCAACAAAAGCATATGCATTTCTAAAAATATTTGGCCAATAAAAACTTGATTGTAGAACTTTAGTTGCAGTTTTGGAAGCTCCTAAGTGACTTCCAGCCTCCCAGTTGCGACAATGATAGAGTATACTTGCTACTTCCTCTTTTGGAACACACCCTTTACTAATTTGATTTGAACACAATTTATATAAAAAAGGTTCCTCCCAAAAATAATGTTTAACATCAGAAAAGAATTTTTTCTTCTGTTGATAAGATGGGTCATGAGGATGTATGTTACTTGCCAAATAGTTGGCAAAATCAATATACTAAGGAATAGATTTCACCGGCTTTATTTAATAAATCGTCTATTAACTATTACTCTTTTTTCATTTTCATCTAGATACTTTATTTTCTTTCACGTTCATCTATTAACTTTCAAAACCATCTGATTTTCATCTACCCAACACAACACTGTTACCCATCTGTTAACCACCGTTAATCACATTGACGAAAAGTTTCAATTTTTAATAGTGTGGCGCCATGCAAGTTGCCTGTAACTCCACATAAGCAAACGGCTAGCCTAAAAAAGGTAGGGAAAATTCCACAATATTTTTTCTGATTAATTTTTTTTTTGGTGGCAAGAGCAAATTTCTTGTCTCATTATTTTTCTTTAATTTTTTTGCCACTGTTTCCTTTTAATCAAAACAAAATCTATTATTAGAAAATTAATAAAACTAAAATATAACATTTTAAAAAAAGATTTTGTTAATTTAATAAGTATCTTTAAAATACAAATTAAAATCTATTCATTATTTTTTTGACAAAAAATATAAAAATAAACTTTAATTTTATTAACCAATCAATTAAAATATTTAATATTGAAAATAAAGTTTATTTCTATAAATTTTCATACAAATTATTAAAAAAAAGTAAAATAAATATACTCTTAATTTGTATTTTTAAAATACATGTTAAAATAACTTTTTAAAAAATAATATAATGCTAAAACAAATGCATGAAATAGTTAGATCAAGCTACCGAGTATCTTGGCTTAGATTATCTTGCAGTTAAGGCAAATGATTATTGAAATAAAAGCAACAAAAGAGAATAGAAATCCGACACAGGTATAGTGTCAACGCATAATTTTGGTATCGACACCATATGGTAAGCATCCAAAACTCCGACACAAACATGGTGTTGACACACAATTCAGGAGTCGACACCGATCGACACCATATGGTAAGCATTTAAAACTCCGACACGAACGTGGTGTTGACATCATATAAAAGGGTAATTCCACTCATGTAATATAATACCTTTCAAGTTATGATATTTATGGATTTAGGATATCCATTGTACTTCGTTTATTAATAAATATTATTTGTTGTTCAAAAAAAAAAAAAAAAGGAACAAAAGCCTGGTTATTCACATATCAAATAATTTACAATAATAAGTCTTAGCTTAGACTTGTCCAATACATTCAAAAACAATTTAAACAAAAATTTCCACTATATAAAGCCACTATCCATGTAGTTATAAATTTTGTCCACAAAAAACTACCAAGCACTAAAAACTACCTTAATTAATAGCACTAATGAGTTGTTAAGTCTTTAGGCACCTCTTCCATTTGGAGCTTGAACGGATCCACTTTGATTGTGTTGAGTGCCAATCGCTTCATCTTGGCTGTTGATCACACTTGATATGCCCTTTATCATGTAGCCACAAAATTAGATCCCAATTAGAAGATAACAGACAACATACAACACTAGCTAGACTAAAAGAAATGAATTAACTTTGTTTCATACATTTGTCACTTGATTAATTGCGGTGATATTAGATCTCTCACTACTTCCCACTTCATTTATAATTTTACTGACCTACAACAAACAATTTAGTTATAAAATATTATCTTAATAAAATAAATTTAAATACCACAATATTCATTGAACCATAATAATTTAAATAATTCAAGTACTCACATTTTCCAGTGGTTCCCCACTTGGTGCAGCCCTATCAGCAGCCTTATTTTTCTTTTTCTTTGGTAAGGCTTTAGGTGCACACCCTATGTTTTTACATGTCCTTATATTATGATCTTTATGCCCACATAAGGATATTATGCACACCTTCCAAGGTGCACACCCTGCATGACATTTTAACTCCGGTCTTTTTCAACTTGGTTGATTTGGCTGCCTTGGTAGATGCAGCTTCATCTGCATCCATTCGTCTCTTCTTTTTTGGTCTACCAGCAGTAGTCTTCTTTAATGGTGGAGGCTGTAGAAGCAAGGAACTTTTTGGCCACATGTCTTGACCATTGATGCAATCAATTTCACAAGCATATTATCTTACAAACATCTCAATAGAATACCAATGTGCAATATAAGCTTCTAGATCCTCATTTTTATGAGATATAGCTGCTATTGCATGTGCACAAGGTATGCCATTCAAATCCCACCTTCTCAACTGCATCTTCTCTCATCAAGGTCAACAATGTATTGGTGGTTGGGGCTTCTAACTTGGAATTTTTTAACTGTTGAAGGTTCAGACTAATATTTTTCGAAAAGCTTTTGGTTTGCCATAAGCTTTTTCACTATTCTAGGGCACACTTTACCAGGAAACTTCTCACCTAAGTTCCTCATTCTATAAAATCTTTTCATCAATTTAGATCTCAATTCCTCATTCATGCTCAATCCCTTGCATCAAGTATAACTCTATTGAAGCACTCACACAAGTTATTCACTAGAATATCACATTTGGGGTAGGTATCAAACCTTGATTTGGACCACTGTTGAGGTGGCTTACTCGCCAACCAATTGTAGGCATTGACATCTAGTTCCTTGATTTTTTGCATACACCTTTCAAATTCATCAACTGTAGTGGCTCTTATGCACTCCATAAGCATCTTTCAACCCCTTGCCCCTATGTTCTGTCTTGAAATTATTATATAGGTGTCTAACACAAAATCTATGTTCAGAGATGGGAAACTCAACTTCAACAGCATAAACTAGTCCCTGCAAGTAAAAAAAATATAAAAACATTAATATATCTCCATTATCTAACAGCTTGGATACTGTTGTGTACCGCTTATTTGCCTTTTCTAGCTCCTTGATATATCTCCAATCATTTTGTACTGCTCTTTATCTGTACCTGCCAATCTAATCTTTGCCAATTCCCTAGCTCTCCATAAAGTCACTCTAGGCGCAATAATAGTGTAGTCTTGGTACACAATATCTTCAAATGCTGGTATTGAAAGATTAGCATCAGCTTGGATAAGATGGAGATATTTTCGGCTAAGCCAAATTGCTGTCATTCTGGGGTTCTTTGAATTAGTGCAGCAGGTGTGATTATCAACATATGTTTTCATTTGAAATGGGTTAGACACCTTTGATGCACGAAGTTTCCATGGACACAGTTCCACGCACTGCACATTAACTCTGTCCTTGTTGTCTCTCTCAAACTGCACAAGCTTTTTATTGTTAATGCCGTATGTCTTAACAGCTTGTTTGAATTGTTCTTTTGATGCAAACAATTGACCAATCTTGAAGGTTGGATTTTCCATGTTAGTTTCCTCTCGAAATTCACTGAACCTTAGGCGGAAAGATGCTTCCATGTCGGAATCTACCAAGCTACTAAGTGCATTTGAGTTTGGATAAAAATTTTCACTCCCATCAGTATCTTCAACAATTTCATCATGAATTGTTTACTCCTGCTGTTGGTTGAAACTTGTCATATATATTGCAGTCTTTGTGCTAGCAGTTTTGAGACCTTTCCCTTTTGTCCCTCCAACCATGGTCGAAGTTGTATAATAAGGAAAAGCAGCATTAGAAGAAACAACTTGATTAATTGCAAATTCAGGTTCCATGGATGTGTCTGTATCCCCATCATCATTATCATGATAACCACTACTACCATCATCATCCTCCTCTTCATCATTGGTGCCATCATCACTTTCTTTGTTGTAGTCTTTTGGAACAATATCTCTAACAATGTTTCCTTCATCAATATCTCTAATTACAACACCACTTGACCTTTGTTTAACCATCGTTTTCATTACCTTTTTTAGCTTTTTCTCTTCCAACAGTAGATCTTGCTTAGTCCTATGCTCCAAATAGATAGAGACATGTCTATTAATGGGTATGTTTAGGACCATTTCAAGTACATTACCCTCATTCTCCAAAGGTTTCAATCCATTATCCAAATCAGCTCCAGGAAACAACCAATAGTATTTGATGTAGCTACTGCTATGCCTTAAAGCCTTTACCATCTTATTTATCACAACAATAGAAAACATATTAACCTCACATAAATCAAAGTAATCAACCTCCTCCCCTTCAACATAAACCTTCCTCGGTATATAGATAAATTCCCCTGAATGATGCATTTCGATGGTGAAGAATGGACTATTTAAATTTGAAAAGAAAATAAACTATTAATTTCATCAAACTGAGTCATCAAAATGAAATTCGTCAATGGTAATTATTTAGGCAAATCAAGATGGGAATCTAACAATGTCCTTGACCTCAAACACATAGTATCTAAACACAGAAACCAACAAATAAACTTAATCATCAAATGATTTCAAACTCTTGTTCAATGCTCCAATATAGACAAAAAGATTCTTCTAAAAGGGAGTAAATTAATCTTAGTAATAATAATAATAAAAAAGAGTGAAGTCAGTCAACCACTTGCTTTTGCAAAACAAATTTAAGTTAGGGAAACATCTCGGGACCACAAG